TTATACGTATATAAACTATACATATATACATTTCTTTTTGCCAGATCAGCCAGATCAGATTACATTTAAATTTATAGACCACCCGTGGCCTGTAAGGTGTTAATAAAGAAAATCCATTGTGCCCGGTGGAGGCGGTAACAACGATGGGGTCGCCCTCTAAGTTTTTTTTTCAAAGGATTTCTCACTGTCAAAAAGCACGCGCAAATGCAAACTCAATCTTGATAAGTATAATACGCGCATGATTTAGGGGTAAACTCGCATCTTTTGAAGCGTTTGTTTTCTTGTTTTGAAAACTCGGGTACCCGAGCAAACCTAATTTTTCTCTAAACATACTTTAAACACAGGTGAATGTTTTTACAAGAACATAATGACATAAACTAAGCATTATGCGTATGTATATAACATATACATTACATATACGCATATGCGTGAAAAGGTAAAACCGTTACTAAACGTCGTCTTTGAACAGAGAAAAAATCTTCAGTAAACCTAGGTGTAGATTAAAGTTTTAGTAATAATACATTTCACTCAAAATGTGATACGATAAATTTCGAAAGAACCACTCATTGTAGTGGCTTAAATACAACTTAAAATGATCCGGAATGATTTGACTGTTTATCTCACGAATTACATTTTAATGGTTTTCAGTTTTCAGTTTGTTTATTTTTGATTGCGAGTTACAATATTATAGTTGAAAATTTATAGGTATATTCACAATTATGCTAAGAACTTATTTAAATCACAAAAATTTCATTTTTGAAATATTATATTTTAAATACAAATACGAGTACATATTATTCGTATTTTTAACGATTGTATTGATATTTGGTATTGATATTTTAAATTTTTTGAATACATTTTTGGATTTAAGAATTATAAAAAACTGATAAAATATCATCTTCTCGTGATCGAGTAAGATCGTGATTGATTTCTAATCGATAACAATATTTTTCATTATTTAACATACCTACTATGTTATTGTCTCACAATGTATTTACCAAAAAAATAAAATATGTTTTTAAAACAAATAGTTTCTTCCCTAACACTCAAAATTTAACATTAACCTGGCAAAATTAAAATACAATTTATTCTATCAATATTTAAGTTTTAAAAATAATGTCTTACGACTTTAAAACATAAGAAATTGACTTTAGGTGTTAAATCTTTATTGGTTGCTGTTACAATGTCAATTAATATAAGCTTGTTTTTGAATTTGCGATTTTAATTCAAAACCAAAATCGGGATGCTTAGGAAACATCTCAACATCATTATTAATTTAAATAACTGATATTGTAACAATATTACGAAATTTCAATTTTTTATTTTTTATTTTTTTTTTATATTTACTATTTATGAAGATATGAAAGTATATATAAGATCTCATTTAAAATTTTCCTTTATGTGCCGTGAAGGATTTTAAGACATATGGATATTCTCTAGGTAGGATTTTATGAGAGGATTTTGAAGATTGCAAAATAAAACCCGAGTAAAAATATTTTATATTCATCAAATACGTGCGTACATTTTTTTTTTTCAAAGCACTACTAGGTATGTATCTACTAGAGCCAATTAGCTATTGGATTTTTGGATAATATCTGAGTAATTGTTTCAAGACCTGAATTGTTATTAAGTATGTGTATCAAACATTGGTAAAACATAAATATTTATTTTTTAATAATTTGTTGAATATTTAGATTTTTACGTAATATATTATATTTAAAGTAAAATTATTTGTGTTACCTATATGAAAAATACGATACATATGTACATATTTTATTTTATATTTTTGCAATGTAGTAGGTACATACTTTGGCTGTAATAGGAATCGTTATAAAAGCGAATCTAATTTTTTTTATTAATAGAAAAGTATTTATTCTAGGTAAACATGAGAGATAAGTAAGCATATCGGAAAATTTTTCTATGGATTTTTTTTACTTAGCTGAATATTTTTCAGTTATTTTAATTTTGAAGAGTATAATAAATGTATGGTAAATATGGCAATTGATAATAATAAGTTTAATTTATCATAACATAGTAAATAAAATAAGGAATATATTAATTTCAAGGTGGATGAGCATAATATTAGTATATTTGTTCTGTGAAATCATTCTACGATTTTAAAGCTATATAAAAAATATAAATCATCGTAAGATACGTGTATATTTAGCTAGATATATATTTTATATGACTGTGTGTACTAGGAAGGTACATAGAAAGATATAGAATAGTCACTGTTTTTGAAGGCTATCACGTGTAATGTATAATAAAGTATAAAGTATAAAGTATTATATAAAGTCATAGTTATATTATATAATCCATTAGTTTTAAAATAGTATAAAAATAAAACCTGTTTTATTATCTAGTTGCGATGTTAATTTTTTAATGTTGATTCTAGTTTAAAATCAATCTAATGAAAATAAACTTATTTGAAAATTGAATTTTTCATAAAGTTTTAAATTGTAGGCAAATAATTATTTATTATTACTTTTTTTAATAATATGCATTAAAATTAATTTATATTTTCCCTAAATATTAATTGTAATTAAAGGTAATTAAAAAAATATATATTCAGAGAAACTAAAAATATTATTATAATTTGGAAAGTTTGATCATACTTTTAAGAAAATATTTATAGGAGTGATATGGATGGTAGAAATGTTAAATAAATTAAGAATTAAGTTATATTCCCAGATGGATAAACAGAAAACTTTTTTTTTTTCAACTTACTCGTAATACTGTGATGAGGTAGACATCAAGTTTTGTTACAGGTTTATTAATGCATTCTCTGAGAAACTATAATCATTTATTAAACATGTATTTTCTAATGGCTAAAGAATTTCATCAAATACGTATAATTGGATCACTACCGTATAGCATTTTATTATTATATTTTGGACTAAGTACTCTAGATTTATAAAAAAAAAAAAATATATATTTATAAGAAATAAACACACATATATTTATTAAATATTTTATTTTATATATATATATATATATACAAATTGTTTGAAGATAAATATTAATACTATTGAAAGTAATTTGTTTTAATAAAAATATATATATATTCGTCAAGAAAAATGTACAATGATCAAAAATATGAGTAAAAATATTACAAAGTTTATAAATTATAAATAAAAAATACAAAATATTAATCTATATTCGTTAATTCGAGGTTTCCAAAACAAAATACTACAAAATGATTTTTATTTTATATAGTAGTTCCGTATAAAAAATTTTATAAGCATATAATATATTTTTGTTGTAATTTTTTAATTTTTAGTTACGACTCTTAAATAAGTACAAGGAATTTGCTTGTATTTGTTTGTATAAAAAAAACCTTAATCAATTTTTATAAGGGATTATTTTTCATGTATAGCATAATAATATCATTACGTATAATGTACTTAAGTTATAAGCACGTTTTGAATAAATCTATTGATAATAATAATGTAATAATATTAAGTTGTATGTATTTAAATACAAATTTAAAATGGTTATTGTTTCATAAACATTCTAAGAGCCATAAATTCATAATGGATGAAGTGTACACTTAAGAAAAAAAACATTCATTCAAAATTGGTTATTAAAAGGTGAAAAATAAATAATAATAATAATTACTATTAAAATATTTAAAACTGAATTTCCAGTATGACTTATTATTGAATGGGTATTGATATTTTGGCGAGCACATCATTTGAAATCATTTTCAATAAATTAATCAAAAAACTTGGCTAAATTATTTTACATAAGTCTGTTTAGAAAACCCAGTAGATAGGCTATTATAGCTGAATATATCTATACACTTATACATAATATATTACATTGAGGTATAACTCAATACGTATAAGTACCTAATTGCACAACACAAAATAGATGTACGTATTACTTATTTCAGAAAAATATTATTATGGAATAACAGTCCACTTCATCTTAAGACTTGTCTTATCATAATTGATTTGAACTATTTAAGAATCATGTAACCAATTCAGTTTAATACGATAGACACAATGCGAATATTTTATATTCTTTAAGTCATATGAATTAACGATGTTTTAAATTTTATATTATATAAGCATATTGTATAAATGGTAAACTTAATTAATAAAATGATAGTAACAGAAATTTTAAGTAATGTATGGCATAGAAAATTAAAAAGATAAATAATTTTATCGATTTCAATAATAGTTTATTCACAATAATAATAAAAATAAAAATGGATTATTGATTAACTATTCATATTGTTTGAAAATAATATTTTGAACAATAAATTTTATTTTATAATAGACAAGTAAAAACAATAACTTTCCAAAGGAAGCAACAAGAAGACGGTTGAACAAATTATAGAACGCTTTATGTAGAAAAAGAGGTAAAAGAACACCATATTATATAAAAAGTCTAAACTATTAAATTTTCAAATGTACCATAACATTTGACCGCAGAACACCTTTAAGTTATATGACTATTATATATTCTTAACTTTTCTTTTATTAAATAAATAATCAATTAAGTTAAAACAGTATTAAATAAATCATTTAAATTCTACAAAATTTGAAACAGATAGTCCGTCCACACAATTTACTTTCAATATTGAAACAAATTAATCAGAAATTTGTATTCAGTAAATAAGTTTTTATAATAAAAACAATAAATTTATTTATTTTTTACACTCCCAAACAGATATTTCTCATAATAAACTTTTACACAATTTTTAAATAAATAAAAACACTTGAAATAACTTGTTTTACTTTGATAATAAATAAACACACATAGATAACAGATATTTTAAAATTTAGTTAAGACTTAAAAAAACCATTCAAAACATTAATATAATAGAAATACATATAACATAATTTACCCGTAATATGATAGTTTTTAACGATAAAGTTGTGTACATATCAACCAATTTAATTAATTAATTTACATGTGTTGGGTTTAACTAAAATAAAATCGTTTACAGTATTAAATGATTATAATTATACATACGATTTAATAATATTTTAAAATAAATAAATTAAGAATAAACATATTATACAAACCTTTTTTTTAAATTTTATTTAGTAGCTACTGTACGATTAATGATTGACATATTAGGCAGATTGTCCTGGTATTCTTGTGGTGGCAACATGACTTTCAAATAGAAAATATTTTTTATCGAATCAGAAATATTTACGGGAAAGAGTCTGAAGAAAAAGAAAATAAATTAGTTTAACATAAACAAATAATGCATTTACTAAGCAGCTTACTTCGAAATAACATTTGCAAAATATGTTATGCGAGGAATAGTGAATTCTACTTCATTTGTTAAAATCCCGTGGACCGTGGCTTTAGCTACTTGTTCCACACTCAACACTGGCAATCTGAAAACCGATTATCATACCATAAGCATCCGATTTAATGTTCATAATTTAAAACTTATATGATATTAATTGCATATCCTGTCAAACTTTTACTTTTTGGATTTATAATACATAATTCGGTTTATTAATATAATATAGCTGAATATATTATTATCGTAGGATAGTAAGTATTATACGAGTAGTGTCATGAGATGGTGATGATAAAAAAATAGATGCTAAATATTATAATCTATGCAAGTACCTATAGACTTTTCAACGAAAAATGTAAATACTTATGTTTAATTTATATCAATGGTTAAAGTTTAAAATTTGTAAATTATACGAATCAAAAATTAAAATCCAAATGTTATATTTATAATTTTTTTATAGTTAATAGTCATAATAAATAATTAGACAATCTACTTATAAATACCAATGGCATTTGGACGGTGAGTTGGTAAAATGCAAAATTTAATTTAAATTAAATTATTATTCAGAAAAAACGAAAAATTTCGTGATTTCTATTTGGCTATCATGGATTTTTTATTCTTCACAACCAATCGGAATTAGAAATAATTATACATTTATTGCTTATATTTTGGCAATCAATATTAATATATGTAATATTATTATTCTATGATAGAGATAGTAAAAAATTAATTAACAAAATTGACCTATTTCTTTGTATTGTGTTTATAATTTACAAATAGTAATACCTGCTGTTGAAAAATTTCATATAATCAGCACTCGAGTTAATAAGTTTTGGTATCACAACAGTGGTATGGATTTTGTTGTGCGAATGCTCCCGGAGTTCCTCTCTGAGACTATCCATCATTCCTAGAAATAAATTTGTTACCAACTAGATATAAAAAATATCGAAATATTATCATTGTCATTGATATCGTCAATTTATTTTTGTAAATTAAAAAAAAAAAAATGACAAAAAAAATAAATAATACATTTTACTGTTTTTTATTGTCATGATTCATTTTTTAAGGTTTTTGTCTATTTACACTATAAATTAACAGCAAAATATTTTTATAAAAATTTTAATATGTATCTATAAATTTAACAAGTAATTAGTTATTTAGTTAAAATTATAAGTATTTAAAATATTGATAAACGGAGTGCTGGGCCTAAATTTTTCGATTTATTCCTATTCCACTTAACTCTTCTTCCTTTAACTGTTAAACTTTTTAATACTTATAAAGTTATAGCTATTTACTCAATATAAATTCAATTTTCATATATCGCGATTTTTTATAAATAATTTTACTCTAAAACATAATTTAAATACATGTGTTATCATTTAAGAAAGTAAAAACTTTAAAAAAAATAACGATAAAAAAATAAGTACCTATTTAACAATATTTCCAAGCCGTTATATACTTTGTATGTATGAAAAAATAAGTAAAATTTATAAAATAGTTTTAAATTGATTACAATGCACTTCAAATTGAACAATAATAATATGTGTTCCAAGTAAAGTCACGCCATAAAAAAAAAAAAAAAAATGTAGATCGAAAGGTTGATGATTACAATAAAGATTTCGATCGTAGAACGTAGAATTTTTCTTACCATTAATACCTGACTTGCTAGCCGTGTAAGCCGAAAAATTTGCTATACCACTAATTGACGAAATTGACGAAATGGCTACAATGTGACCGCTATTCCTCTTCATCATACTTGGCAAAAACGAGCGTATCATCTAAACCATAAAAAAATGACACAATAACAAATTATTGTTAAAATCATAAAGATAATTTATTCAAATAAAATATTGTTGTTCACGTTTACTTGTTTTGAATTTGAATGTTAAAAGATTATTTGAAAGACAATAATTTATAATTTAATTAAAATTAAATTTGAATTACTTCAATGAAAATTTAAATATTTCAGCTCAAATAATAGATTATAAGAAATTAACTTAAAATGATTCTTGGGGTTGTGGGACTCTGCCTTTAAAATTTAATGCTTGCCATATAATAGAAAAATAAAAAAATGTGGGTTAAATTGATTAAGAATCTGAGTTTTTGATTCATGTTGACGCTTTGAATATGACATGTCTACAGTAATGTTAGTAACTAGTAACTACTAACTATACACGAGTGTTCTGGTCATCATATCTGCATAATATATTATTTTTAAATATCGTCCTCGTATTTATAATAACCTTTATACAAGTGTATTGACTTTAAATATTTAAATAATTTTAATTTTACACAAAGTCGCTGCTTTGTTTACTTAAAGTAATTTTATCTGTTGAGTTAAATTATTTCACATAGTTTTAAATGTTTATTTTTAAAATCCAATATTATATGACATTAAATAACAACCACTTCGAATAAAAAACAACAATTTTAACGTTTTTTTCAAATTTTTAATTTTTTTATTTAACTAGGTGCTTACATTTAACTTTGTATGCTATATACATTTTAATGATCACAAAGTTCAAAAATGTGAACTATGCCAATGTTTTTCCATCTTTTAAAATTCAAGTCACCCTTGATGTTTTATTAAATGTAATATATTTATTTTATTTTTCGATTAATAAATCGAATTTTATTTTCACTTACTAACCCAAAAGTGTCCAAGCAGATTTATGTTGATGATAGTAGAAATCGTGTGGTCCTGGGCACCCAAGAACGTGTGACCAACGATGACAGCAGCATTGTTAATGAGTATGTCCACCGGACCTAGATCGATCTCCACCTTGACGGCCAAAGCGGCTGTTTCGGAGCTGTCTGCCACGTTAACAGTATACGCCTTGGCCGAAACATTCGGGACTTTAGACTCGATTAGTTTAATTGTCTCTTCGTTACTTGTCTGATCTACATCGACGCATGCTACTTTAGCGCCAAGATGAGCAAACTCTAAGGCAAGTTCACGGCCAAGGCCCCTTCCCGAGCCCGTGATCTATGAACACAGATAATTAAAAAATTAAACAAGCAGGTTATGTTAGGTTTCATGATTTTCAAAATATTCTGGCTCTAATATTAATTGTTTATGACTACAGTTCCTTAACACGAGGAATATGAACCACATTGTTGTGAACATTTACAATGTGCACGCTATTTAGTAAAGAAAAGAAACAGCTATCGAAAAGTCACATGTATTTAACTTGGTTTAAACTCAATACACTGTAATTAACAACCAAACAATAAAATTGTATTATACTAATAATATATTCTATGGCATTACGTTAATATATTTTAATAATCGTGTGAGTATACTGTTGTTTTATTGAGTTTCAACATGCATATCAAATCTATATTCAGATATTCACTTCGTTAAGTTCGTTTTACCATAATTTACTTGATTATCATAACTTACATTTGGAATATAATTGAATATTAATAACTCATAACCAGCAATTCAAGTATCATAAATTAAAATGAACCATACCAGTGATGTAATAATAATGATACGACATATTCTACATTACATCATCATTATAACATTAAATAAATTACCTAAAATCTGAGTTCGATAATTGATTTTTTTTTTATAAATAGTATGAATAATAACAAAATTAAAAGAATTCTGAGCTATTTTTTTTTTTCAGTCGATGGATTATATCGGGTTATTCTAGATAGGATGAATTTGATATGATAGATCTTGAATAATTATGTAATTTATTATAGAATCCTTTGTAGAATTTAAATTCTTGACCACAAATAGACATTATTGAGAGTTCTATTACTAATAAACCATGGATCGTTGGTTATTATTCTGAGAGGTATTGATTGAAAGGGTTGTATCATCTTTATTGAATATTAATGGTATTTAAATAAAAATTTCCTTAATATAACTATTTCTAAAGTAAAGTTATGTATTATTATATAATTATACATATTAGTTCAATAAAAAAATATGTTCTAACTTCATTTATCTCTAATTTTGTTCATAAATATATTACATATATACCATACAGTTTAATAAATAAGAATCTATTTATACGTAGTTTTGCATTTGGTTACCTATTTTTTTGGTTTTTGACGATTTCATCATATAATATTATCTTATTAAATCCATTAAAATAGAAAATATGAATTAATTTAACTTTAACCGACATCGAATTTATAATGATCTTGGAAATTCATGCTATAATTTTATAATATTAAAATGGTACAAGAAAAAACTATATACCTATAAATAATTTGTTTATGTCTCATATTAGTCATATTATACTTAAATTAATGTATTGTAATTTACCAGTACAACGTTTCCCTTGACAGATTTTTTCGATGTTGGCAAAAACACTCTAAACATCTTAAAAAATAACGTAACAAAAAACATTTGAAAGATGATAAGTATTTCTAATATTAAAGAAATCGGATTTTTTAATGTCCATAACTCTTCAGTGGAAGGAGGTGCCAATGGTACTGGTTTGATATTGTCTATTTGTGCGTTGGTCATATTTCTGGAATGATTCTAAAAAAAGAGAAGACATAAAAGCAAGTAATTCATTAAACATACCATAATTGAATGTTTAAAATAAATTATACTCTCATTTTTTGCTGACAAAAAAATGGCAAAAAAATTAATTAATTAATTATACCTACAGACATTATATTATCCTTATTAATTTATAATTATTTATTTTTGACCTATACCATAATTTAATTGTCATTTTAAATTAACTTAACTATTTATTAAAATATAAAATTTTTTCAAAGTTTAGCTTTATAAATATGTAAATATAATCAAACCTGAAACTATAATAGTATTTAGTTGGATTAATAGTAATGCTTTTTTTTTAACCTTTTATCCAACCTTTTATGAACTGATGTAAATAATTATTTTTAATTATAAACTGAATCCATAAAAGTATTATTTTAGTAAACAATAGTAATAATGTAAAAGTCAAAGCAAAATATTTAAAAAAAAAAAAAAAAGGGTATACAAAAAATAAAACAATATATATATATTTTAAATAAAATATTAAGGAATGAAATTTTCTTATGAAGTCTAAACATAGCACTTTTGTGATTAAAATATATAAAATGAAAGATTGAGACTAGGTAGTAACATTGTATTTAAATGAAAATAAATATCGATTTTAAATGAGTTCAAAGTGTAAAAAATATGAAAACTTACATTTTATCTATTAACTACAATAAAACTTTCTAATGTTAACTTTATTTTTATTAACTTTGTGTTTACATATAAACATTAAAATATTTAGTTATACCTTAACTTGTTTTTGTTAAAAAAAAAGTTAATTGTTTTTATATTAAATTGGATGAATGCAATTTTAAAAGATAGAGAAAACAAAGTTTATAAAAAGTGACAACATTTAATAAAGTTATTTCAATTAAACTTATGATATAAATCAAAATAAATATATTAATACACTACTTTTTTATTTTTCTAGTATACAATTTTGTAATAAAACATTGTATATTATAAAAGTTAAACCATATGCCACCTCATGTAGTGAGAAAATATTAACTTAATTGTTTATCAACAAAAAATCAAGGGGAAAATTCAAATGAAAAATATATTAAAATAAGGAGGAAATATTTAAAGTCGATTGAAAATATAAAGGGAGGAATACTTTGAAAATGCTATAAATCACAGACATCTGGAACATTTCTATGATTTCTACGGTTGTTTGACTATGTTAAAAAAACGATTCTTTCTTATGATCAATAAAAACATGATGTATATTTAACTAAAAACAAAATAATTAAAATAGATAAACATTTAACTTTATCCAAATAATTTTTTATGAATATTATTTTTATTCAAATAATTGTAGGTATAAAATATTTTTTTTTACAATATTCAATGTTTTACTCAGAATTATATGGATTTTTTTTCTGTGAACAAGTATAATATAATAGAAACTATACTAAAAAGTAATTATAAACCAATATTCAAATAGAAGTTATTTAAATATTTATAAAAATCTGTTTTTCCACTGCAAAATTATTGATACTGAATGGATTTAATTAAAAATGATTTAATGAGGTCAAATCAGCTGGTAACATATTTTGTAAATTCATTCATTCAAAACTGACAAAATTAGTTAAATTCGTCTTTTTCACAAAACCTTTAGTGCGTAAGCTCAAAATGTTAACCAATTAGTTTCAAAACGAATCAAAACGTTTTAGTTTACAAGCACAATCGCAGACATGACTTTTTTATCTGCTAAGAAAAAGTTAATAATCAGTATCATATTGACACTATTCCTAGAACAATTAATTTTAATCATTAACTCATATAGTTCTTCAGAAATTTATTTTTCGACATGTTATAAATAACTTTAAAGAATTAAACTTTAAAATAAAACTTTATGATGACACGTGACTCTAAAAATGTATTTTAAGCAAGTATAATATAATATCAAACCATTTAGGGACCTTAAATTTTCAGTGATAAAAAATCAATGATTTCACGCTGGTAGGTATGAAAACGATAAACCTACTTAATTTATAATTTATAAATATATATAAAATAGTTTAATTTCATAAATATTTTAATACAAAACAAATTGTAAAATGTTTTTGTGTACATTTTATGAATGATATTTAAAAATAAGATTAGCCTTACAGCATAATTAAATGTACTATCTATACGACTACACATAATAGTTACATTTAAAAAGATATAAATTTGAATAACACCTATTGTGATCTTATAATAATTATTTATAAAAATGAAATATTTTTTTTTCTTTTTAACGCAACGATACTCAAATAACTACCAATTTATTTTCAAAATAATGTGTACTTATTTCTGTAATAAATTACTTATATAAATATTATTCTTTCGTTAAACTAAAATATTTACAAAACATTATAAATGTATACGCACTGTAGATAAAAGAACTTAGTGTGCAGTACTTAGTATAAATGTTATATGTGTACCCAAAATCTCTGAATAAATAAAATAAACAAGATAATATAATATAGTGTTGTTATATAATGATCCGCGAGATATATCGTTATTATTATTTGATATTTTTAAATGCCAATTTAATATAATATTATTAAAAATGAATGAAATTTGGTGAAATAAAAAAATAAAGGTAATAATAGTAGATAATAAAAATTGCAATATTTTAATAACATTTCAGTAAAATGGTTCTAAAATAATATAATTTACATACAAAGTCCTGATGTATTAATTTTTTTATAAAAATTATATGCATAGATAGTTGGTAGCTTTTTACTATTTTCGATATCCTAAGCATTATATACGAACGTAAAAATTTATTAATGATTTGTATAATTTGATACGAGGTGTCTATTTTAATCATAAATAAATTAAAAAATGTACCTACTTATTTACAACGAAATATTTTAATATTATATTTTATTATATTATATACCGTACGTCTATTGCCTACGTGTGTAGACCTAATGTAATATAATTATGCCCATTATTATACATGAGTATGATTTGTTTACTTTTTACTTAAAAAAAAAGGCATTTAAAAATCAAATCATGACTTATTATAAATTTAAAAATACACAAATTAATTCAGAAAAAATAAATTATTTAACAAACTAAGTACTAAGTACGAATGTGTAATGGAAATCACAGTATATTTTATCTTTATAATTTATTTTAGACAACAAATAATTTCTTACTGATATATAATAATATGAACCCTACATTTTTAAATAAATAACGAAACGTTAAATATATTTATAAGCTCATTAAACTATAAAAACTTTTAATGTTTAAAACCGTTTTTAATGTATATATTTTTGAAGTTTATAACAGAATATATTATATTACAATAAGACATAAAATAATTTACGATATTAATCTTAAGTAAAAAATATTTTTCAATCATTTTTTTTTTTTTTATAATTTCTGTTTTCCAAACAGTTAGAGTACAATATTTACTTTATAGTCGTATTACGTTCAGTGCGTATAATAAATAATACAATTATATATTATAAAACATTACGATAACGATATAACATACATATTTGCTCACTATATTTTCATTATCCACCGAAACCAAGTGTATATTTATTTATATATATGGTACACTACAATAATACAAATATCGTTTATTTTGGATGTGTTACAGTTAAGGTGATTTGGAAATTCAAGTATGAATTGTACGTGGTTAGTTTGTTATGAGAAGAAGTCGTATGTTGATTTTGTCTCACGAACGTAAAATATAGCAAATTTATATTCAACAAAGGTAAACAATTTAATACTGTAAGCTTTGATATTTGAGTGATTTACATGTTAGACATGATAACCATAAGAAAATTTTCAGAATTTTTACGTTAGTTTTTTTAACGAAAATTAAATGTTTAAAAGAATTATGATCATTATGAGATTGAAAATTTGTAATATTTTACATGTTCATAACTTGCTTAAAAATGAAAGAATCGCAAAAAACCGACGTGTAAAAATTAGTCACATATGTTTTTACCCTTAAGTTTTATAGGAGGCCAATTCGATGATACAAAATTGGGAAATCGGTATTAAAAAATGCAAGTTTATCATGTCGTAATTTTCTTTAACAACGCACGTCATACGGGTGAGGAGACGTCTTATTAATTAAGATTGAAATTCAAAAGTTATATGTGTTATGACGGGCGTTCGAAAAACTGGCACAGTCGGTCGCAGATTTGCGTAACGTGTTTATTTTAATATTTTTAAGCGGCGATAACAATAGTTGGACGAACAAATTAAATTTAAAAAAAAAAAAAGAAAAATAAAACTCTCCGCAAAAATAAAAAATAATAAAAACTATAAATTGATGTTATATTATCATAATCTCTTCCGCCGGGCTGCAGACCCGATGTATTTTATCGGCTTTCTTTCCCCACACATATAATAAAGGCGATAGCGGAGACTATGCAGGCGTCCGTCGCGCGCGGTCGGCCTTAATTATAAAGATAACGACGCGCCGGTGGAGTGCATTGAACGAGAAAACTGCTGACTTGTTCTCGCGTCGCGCCCGTTGCAAAAGCGGCGCTAACGACGGCAGTTCGGGTCCGAAAAGCACGCACCTACCACACAATAGGACGCAGATTGAAAAGACGTTCGCCAGTACAGTTCCGTATAATATGTATACGTACGTACATATAGGTGGGTTGTATCATTTATACATATATATATATATATATATATATATAATAAACTTAGGAACAGAACCTTGCGGTACGTCCGGACGACGGTGGCGAGCGGCATAGTGACGGGGTTTGCTACGACCGTCGAGTAGGAAACGACCGATAAAGAGAAGTAGAGAGGTAGATAGTGTGAGTGTGTGTGTGTAAGAGAGAGAGTGAGTGAGAGAGTGGACGAGGACAGATGGATGGATACAGAGAGCGATGAACGACCGAATGCGTAGGCGCGCATAGGTATATTAGGGAGAAAATGGAATAAAAGCGAAAAACGCCGTGACGCGGGGTGGAGGAAAAGAAAAGAATTACGACTTTCTATTCCGACCGTCC